GAAATAAGATCTTGCCAACTTTTTGTAGATCAAGTTTATTGTATTGTCCCTGTGAACTAAAGCCATAGTTAAATATCTGACAAATATGGTCGCACAATATTATACATAATAGAAATAACCTTTATATTTCCTCGGTGGGGAAAAGTATGTGTCCCTGCAGCAAAGAGAAACACAAGTGGAAGCATACAGATAAACACAAAGCTGAAAACTAAAGAAAGTAATAATAGGTGCCTGAGCAACAACTGCAAATTAGCAACATAAGAAAAAAATACTTTCTTTTCTGTTGAAACTAATAAAGGAAATTTGAACCTAAGTCGTTTAATTTTAAGAAATGTCAAAAACTTGTATGGAGTTATGCATAAAAAAACACTGACAATAAAAATGAAAAAGACTACAAAAACAACAGATATATAAACACTTATTGAGTTTGTTGGGAGCAGTGGTGGCTATAAAGTGCCATGGCTGCTGGTAGGAAGGATCTGTGATAATGTTCCTTTGTGCATCAAGGATGCAGCACTGAATCAACGGGGCATGCCAGGACACAGCTGTTCTTCCTGTGTGCAAAATATTTTTAAATGTTACACCTTTTTTTAAAAAAAGGATGTTGTTACTCTGTGATATGTGAGTCAATTCATAGACCCAATCTTTATCTGTCTGCACTAAACAAACACAATCAGAGCGATTACTACCAGAGTTTATTGGCTGTAGGAATTTAAACTGCTCCTTCCACCTATGTCTGAAAAAGTTGAAACCAAACTTAATATCAGCTGTTAATGGACGGCTATAGACAAAAACACACTCTGAAAAACTAAAAGCTTGAAGCAACAACCATGTGTTAAAAGGCACACATACTTGAGGAAATGCTAGGAAACCATGGCTCAGATTTATACAGCTCTGTAATGGACTCCCACTCCGATGCTCCTTCACCCACCAATCCACCCACGGACAATATTCTCAAGCAGAAAAGCAAAAAGATTAAAATAACACAACTGGAGCAGTACTTGTGATTCAAACATGTACATTTACTTATTTTTCTCCTGTTGGTTGAGGCTCTTGGAGATGTTCACACACAGGTAGAGATGACACCCCAGATATAACCTGACATCAGGTATCACTTCAGGAACGAATTGACAAGCCAACCTGTGGTAGAACCAAATCTAGCTCTCATCACCATCCTACTGTGCTTCGTTGCTAACACACACACACACACATGTATTCAAAGATCCAGACTGGAGAGCTAGTCCAAGCAACAAGTGGAGGGGTTATCTAATGATCCTGTCATAAATAAGTAAACCCTAAACCAGATTTCCTTTGGAGGCTGATTAACAAAACCTTTGCTGAACTGCAATCATTTGAACCAGGTCTGATAAAGTAGATGCACTTCTAAAGCCTGTAGCTAATATTGGTCTAAGCAGATAAAATCTGTATAAAAAGCAATGATCAGAACCTGGCCACAAAGTTTGAATTTTCATCTTGACATCCCAGTGGAGTACATAGAAGGGTTGGATTTCATATTCCTGGTCATAACTGGTTGCTACTTCCTGTAAGCTGAGCGATCCCATATAAGGCAGGAATAGCGGACAAACTCTGCCACAGGGCTTTGTATTTCTCAACATATTACAATATACATGTCGTCATAAATAGACTAAATGGGTCAGTTCTGTTACTTTTGCTTATTTTCTTGTAAATCATAGCCCTTGTACCTTGTATTTGACAAGCTGTTACACCTGTTTTCGTTTGTCTGTTTCCCTAATTCAATAGGTTAAGAAAGTGTCCCTTCTAGGGTTGTAACATTGTTTTTTGTTATTGCAACAACCATAAACAGAAATGTTGGGGTTTTTTTCTGAAATGCAAACAAACCGCCATTAAGACGATACATATGGACTTGTTGCATCCTTTTTTCATTTAGTGAATGACACCACTTCTAAATTGTATACGTAAATTAGTGACAGCCATCATTCAGATACAAGTCTGTAGGGTGTAGTTTCTGTGGGTGTCCATATCAGATGAAAGAGGACATGTATTTGCTGATGTGATACACAAACTTTTTTTATACATGCACACGTGAGCTTCCAAATTCCTCAAACTTCACAAAGAGGTTTTTTTTGTGTGTCCCTGCAAGGGTCACTGTGTCCATATAGGCTCAGATTTCAGCAGACAAAACCTTTTCTCCTTTTCCTTCAGTCACAAACACAAACTCTTTCCGTTGTCTATCATCTTGACAGAAATCAGCCGGACGTGTCAGGAAGTAGCAATAAAGTGTTTTGTCTCTGTTCTCTGAGCCATTTCTGATATGCTTTAATCTGTACCGAAACGACACAACAAACATTTCATATTATTAAACCTCATGGTGAAGAGTAGTGGCTGTACACCAATTGAAAAAAGGGAAGATGATAGCATTTCTTGACAATAAGGAAAGCTGAAAACGCACTTTAACAGTGATTAAAGCTTGAATGACTAATTGATGTAGTTCGTGTAGAATAAGATAATAATGAGCCAGACCGATGAGATGAGCAGATGTGGCGGGACTGGTAGGTCTCTGGTTGTGTGTGTGTGCATGAATGTGTGTGTGTGCCTCATCTATTCTAGGAGAATTCCAGAGGAGAGACCCTGTGACTGACCCCCACCTTTCAGGACCTGACAGGGTATAGCCACAGAGCAGGCACACTTACACATATGAATGTCGGTTTGTTTGTCTTTGCACAAACACAAAACATCATATTGGAGGTGTGAAGAACACATAGGGACCAAATACATGGCATAATAGCACTGGAGGGTCAACATTATTTAACACAAATTCCTAATATTTTTTATTTTTTTAAACAGATTTGTTTCTGATTAAGTATTTTGTTTTTGTTCAGAGAGGACTGCAGAACTTAAAAATTAATTTTAATGCAGTTTTTAAACCTGTCGGGGCTTCTAAATAAATAATTAAAGCACTAACTGAAAATATTACTGATTGATATGTATAATGGTAAATCACATAACTGCTCTCCAGGAAGATCTAACCAGCAAGTGCCTTTTTGGGGCCAATATTAGCTTCTCACTGTATAAGCAAATGTAAAAATAGCTTTTTATATATAATAATTACAGAAATATATATATATATACTGTATATATATATATGAATTTATTTGCTCTTCTTGACAGATATTGTTTTCCAGTTTTGTTTGAGATCCAACCTGCTGATATGGATTTTGACCAATTCTAAAAAAAATTATGTTTATTTTTTATTTTTAACTTATAAGTAGATTAGAACTAATACAGAATAAACATCTACTAAATCAAGACATGCATTTCAAGTGGTTATGATTTAGACTTTTTTTGCCATTCTTCTCTCCACATTGGTTCACAGGAAAGATAATTTTAGTTTTTGTAGTTATTTAGTCAAGCTTTCTGCTGGGATAGCTACCCTGCAGTTCCCAGCTGTCAATCACTTGCCAACTGTTGTATTAACAAAACACTAAATGATATCATCTATCATGGAGCTTCTGATTTATGAAATCCTTTTAATGAGTTGCTAGAACTGGTGCTAGTAAGTACTTTTTGCTAGTAAGAAACGCTGAGCACTGCCCATCTTCCCAGTGTTATTGAACGCTTTCAATGACACTGCTAGGTCGGAGCCATTTAACATGGACACGTTTGACATCACATCCACCAAACAGTGCTGGAACTTCCTAACCCAAACCATATTCTGGGAAAATACACTACAGGCTTTTAGATTCATCAGCGCTGAACTATGGGGGTAGTCTGCAAACGATGTTTTAATCATAATGGGTCAAATAATAAAGATTTTTCTAAGTACAAAATCAAAAAATGTCTTTTTAAAACCCTTATCTAAATGACGGGCGAGTTATATCAGCCTGCATCTTGAATCTTGAAAATTATCGACAATTGTTCTCTGTTCAAGTAGCAAGCTTTTCCTACAAAAGTATGAATGATTCATCCTGACATCATAGCTGGTCCATATCAATAACGCTCATTGCTCAAAGCTACAATGTGGGTATAATATCAGCAATTAAAAGGTTGTATAAGACAACCTTTAGCGGAAGAACAAAAAACACCTGTAATCCATCTCTTTTTAGCAGCAGTAAGATTGATGAATGCATTTCTGATTGAAGTAAAATCAATGTAATATGTAATATTTTATAATTTAAAACAAGAAGAGAACATCTAAAGATGATAGTTTTCCAACAGGTTAAAGAAATGCTTGCTTATATTAGACACTTTCAATTTACTTTTCAATGGTACAGGTGACTTTTACCATTCAGATTTCAAACTTTATGGAATTTTTAAGGGGAAAAAATCCAACCACAAAGAGAACATACCATAATACCTTGTAGATGTGAATATCTTAGTCATGGTAGTCACAAATTATCATCTCAAACTACCCCATTTTCATGTAAAATCATAGCCTTGGCTCAGCCAGCTGATCAGCAGTGTGTAGGGTAAAAAAAAAAAACTGAACGCCCTTGCACCTTCTATGCATTTCATGAAATGGACTTTAAACTGCAGGAAGTAATGATGGAAGATATCTGTAGTAATAAAACCTCAACTCTTTAGAACCTTAAAACATTAATGAAGGAAACTGTTCAGCAAAGAAAACACTGACTGGACATCTACTGAGAGAAATTACAGAATTGCATTCACAAGAGGCAGTTAGGTTTAGAAAATGCAATTATTCTTCCTCCACATGTTTCAATAGATTATCTAGTGCTGGACCACTTGTTAGAGCCGTTCAGGTGCCCCCCTCCTTAAACAGTCCTGGCCAAAGATGTCCCAACTTCCTTCCACACAACTGGAGGTCCCCCCCCTGATGTGAGACGGCAGGAGCGCGCACCGCTTAGTGCGCACAGAGCGCAAAAATGTTCTAAAATTTGCCCAATTTCGCCAAAAAAAAAAAAATAATGTGTCCAGTAAACCAAGAAAAACGTTGCTACAACGCAAGTTTCCTGAAGCAGAGAGCAGAGGAGGCTCTCCTTCTGACACCACCGTCTTACCTTCTTCCTGCGCGGCTCACTCCTCCTTCCAAACGATTCCCCCAAAACTCTTTGTCACGACGAGGCTCCGCGCAGCCCGCAAAACCAGAGTAGCTGCGGCTCCGCAGCAGAGGACAGGCTAGAGGGAGCGGGGCTTTGCTCCGACACGCAGGGGCTCCGTGTGTGTATGTGGATTAGTATCTGACAGCTCATGGAGAGAATGAGCAGTAATGAGAAGAGAACCGGGGAAGTTAGGGGGGAGTTCCCGTCAACAGACCGGCGGGGCGGGGGCTGCAGGAGACTGACGGGCGGCTCGATTTTCTTTTTTTTTTCTGTTTACAAATCGTTTGTGATCCTCAACTAGATGCTGCATTCATATAATAGCTCACATGATAGATAGATAGATAGATAGATAGATAGATAGATAGATAGATAGATAGATAGATAGATAGATAGATAGATAGATAGATAGATAGATAGATAGATAGATAGATAGATAGATAGATAGATAGATAGATAGATAGATAGATAGATAGATAGATAGATAGATAGATAGATAGATAGATAGATAGATAGATAGAGCATTATTTTATGAAGGGCTCAAAAACATTATTGTATGAAAAATGACAAGTAACAGCCGATACCAATGCCAACATCAATATATCATGCATCACTAGTATGGACACAACTTCACTTCCATCAATCCATCCATGCATGGCTTCCCTTCAAGCTGCATCAGTGATTATCCTCCTTCATAAGGAGCAAAATCAGCCAAACATTGACAGCCAAAGTTTATTTATTGAAACTTGTATTTCAAAAATCATTTATACACTGATTTGTATTATTTGTGCTTTAATTCTTGTAGGTGCCTTATACTTTAATTTTAAGTCTGTGTCCTGTGAGTCTGGCTGTCTCTGGGTTGCAGCTATTTCTGAGTCTCCTTGAACTACAAAAGACAAAATTATATGTTGAATTTTATTATAGCATTGCATATTTTTTCTTGTAAACTTGGGAGATATATTTTATTGCATGTTGCATATCCTAGTAAATCTGTTTCACCTTTAAATCAGCAGCTGTCCCTAATTGTGTCTCTGCTCTGCTTAAAAAGAGATTTATGAACCTGTCTACCAATATAATGATGTCAGAGAAAATCATTTTCAGGATCTTTAGAAGCTCTGCAGTCTGATTCTCTGTTCAATAAGAAAACAACAGATATGTGTTCATTTTAATCTGTAACTCTGAGTATAGTCCTGAGAAGCCCAGCTTTTTTAACTCATATAAATGTACAATCTGCTGCCATTTAGCTTAAAAAGGTCTGTATGTGTAACTAACGGATTTTTCGGTGGCATCTCTGATTTTTTTTAACCAACCTACTCCTAACTTTTACTTAAACATATATCGGAGTAGCTGCCAGTTAAAAGTCACTGAGTGCTGCTGCGAATTTATGTTAAAACGGCTTGCCATATAGGGCATCTCTTCTAATCCTCATAGCTACTCTGTATGCAGTGGATAGTGACCCTGAATAATATTATGTCCCAAAGCGACAGATCCGATGATATTTCACCGAGAGGTGGGACTGGAGAGCAGTGGGAGAGCGAGGAAAAAACACAGACTGAAAACGCTCTGAACACAGACAGCTGCACCCAACCCCAGTTACTGGAAATCAGTGGAAAGGGGGGGAAAAAGCGGAAATGATTGGTGGAAACTGTCCCCACCATGCCCAAAGTCGTTGGGGACATGTCCACACCAGTCCTTCAGAAAGTTGCGCAGAAAGTTCTGCACCCTATGTAAATTTTTAAAGCTGAGCCCTAAATAGATCAGCTTTCTGGAAATAGATATTTTTATATTTCCAACAGAGTTTGATATTTGGTCTACATATGGGGTTACGACTTAGATATGACAGAACATATTTTTAGAGTGCCTATGGTTATCGTGATTGCGTTTAAAATACCCAATTGTTGCCAAAGATACAATGCATCAATCCAGGATTAAAATCTGCAAAAGAGGTCAGCAAATTAAATAATAATATGTGCTTTATTTCATGGGTGGATCTAGACAAAGGCCAATGGGGGCTGCAGTGCCCCTACAGAGCGTATCCTGGCCCAGAGTCTTGCACTGGGTCGGGCACCCATATAAAACTTGCATCTACGGGTAGAAAAAAAACCCCAAATGATTTCATTTATTTTTATTTTCCTATTCATTAACTCTAGCTAAGCAACACAGCAAACCGTCCTACTTCAGTTACTTAATATGTGAGCAGTGTGCACTGGATATGAGCGTGAGGCATGTTCTTTTCTGCCTCTGTTATTATAAATGGCTGTGTGTTCAGTTCGTCATTCAGTTGGTCGGGTCGCACTTTATTATTTATGGGTACGTGCGGACCCGGGTTTTAAATGGGGATATTTGCAGGTAATGGTTCGGGTCTTGGTTCAGAACTCTATGGATGCGGTCGAATGCAGTTTTGAAAAGTCAGACCCGTGCAGGACTCTGTCCTGGCCCATGTTATGTTACCTTGCAATCAATATGAATTGTCAAGATATTGGTAATGCACAATCCCTGGAAAATACATCTTGCTAGAAGCCAATATATGCATTCGTCTAGATACAGAATTGTTTCATATGAAATGCAGTAGTGTAGGAAACAGAAGGCTAAAGTAAAACAAACATGGCTGTGTCATTTTTAACTGGAATACCCTCTATTTCTTTTTTAAAAGTAGGCAAAAGGACAAAATTTGGGCCTTTGTAGTTGGGAAAGATGTTTGTGTGTTCCTCTGCATCTTGATGTATCAGTTAACTCCACTACTTGTGAAACAAATCAAGAATGTGACATGTCACTGATGCTACTGCTGCTGTGACAAAAGCTCGGCAAAAAACGCGACATGGCAAGCAGGTTCCCGCTTGGTGATTTTTGACCGATCAGCTCAAAGAATTGTACTGAATGTCCTTCCCCTCTGTAAACAATTTCAACAGGAGCCTTCCATATGGATGCTGTGTAGAATTCAATTTGAACTAAATATATTATAATGCCCGGTTACCTGTTATGGCCCCTTTACTGAAAACAAACAGTGCAAAAATTTGAGTAAATTTAGTGTATTTACCTTTTAATTTAATCAGTTAGCTAAGGCAATTAACCAATGTAATAAGATGATTTATGTTTAAAATTCAAAATAGCTAGAACTCCATTATCTTATTTCAAGTGCATCGTATCAAATTATCTTATTATAATGACAAAGACAGCCCTTCCTTTAGAAAACCATCTAATTTAGCTGCTTGAATTGAGGTAAATTGTCCAGACTCAGAACAGAGGACCCAGTATTCAGGGATATAGGTTGATATAATATACAAAAGCATTTATTGACAACACGTCGAATCTGCGACTCAGCAGCTAGGACGAAAAAGGCTGGAATATCTATAGAGGGGAAAACTCAGTTTTAGTGACCACGTAAATTTGATGGAGGATGATCACGAGCATGTGAGTCACTAACCTGGTTTTAAAGTTCAGCCCAAGCCCAGAAGAATAAGTGGAATCAAGGTGGATGATATCCGACAACACGTGGGGGACGCCGCCCAGAGAGTTCCAGGGGCTGAAGCCAAGAAGGCAGCTGAACTGGCTGATGAGCAGAAGCAAGCAGACAAGGGAAAGCAGAAGTTTCCAGAAGGCAAAGGCAAAGCCAAAGCCGGTTCCGATCCAAAGGGAAATCCAAGTCGGGGTCAACAGACAGATCCAGGGACGAAAGCAGGCGGAATCTAGTGGCAGTCCGAAGACAGGTCAGGCAAACAGATCAGGACTGGGGCAGGCAGGTTCAGAGGTCCAAAGGCAGAACTAGTCATCAGAACAACACACAGGGTACGCTAGAGAACTCTCATCAAAGGCACAAATAATCTGGCACTGAAGACTGAGGGCAAGCAGCCTGAATGGAGGCAGGAGCAGGTGTGTTAGATAAATAGTAATGAGAAACGAGGTGGAGCTAGGCACGTGAATAGAATGAACCATTAAGCCAGCAATCAGCGCCAAGATAATGACAAAAATAAACTTAGTAGGATGAGTTTTTGCAGTGTAATATGTAATATCAATTTCTTATGATGATATACACTGAATTAGTGTTAGGCACAATGATATTTTGCCTTGCACTTTACTTTGACAGTTAAATAGAAATTGCATTCAACATTAACTCCAGCCATATTAAGATTGGATCACAGTTTTTATCTGTGGAGTCTACCACCTTGGGTTTTGTGCGTAATATACTAAAACCATGCACGCTTGCTCTTGCTTTTGTTTCTAATCTTTTGTTCTGTGCCCCATGAAAAAAGGAGTGGCCCCACCCTGGCCCCGCTCTGGTAAATTTTGCCTAGAACCATCACTGTTGCATTTGATAACACAGATTTTTGTAATAGATTTTTAAGAGGGGTGAATATTTTTAAACATTCAAAACATCCAAAATAAAATAGAATTTTTTTTTCTAAATTCCACCAAAGATGCCACTGTTTAACAGAAACAAACATCTGCATTAAAGGAATTAATTACTGGAATTTATAACACTTGAGACAAATACCAAAGTTTCTCATATTTGGCATGCAAAAAAATTAGAAAATATATCTTTTCATCTGGGGTGGACTGTTTGTCCCATTTTCAGTCATCAGCATGTATGCTTATGATAAATATCAGAATTGCATGTTTTGAGAGAGAACACACTTTTTTAATTTGAAAAGCACTTGTGAAATTAGTTTTAATGTGGGAAACTGCCAAAGTGTAACTTGAGCAGCATGCAGACAGTTTTCTACCAAATCAGCAGCAAACATCTTCTTATTACAGGGCCTGAGCTGTAATGAGTAGTTTCTATGTATCTATGCTATAAATAAGCTGTAGTCTATGAGGACATAGTGATTACTGAATAACAACCCATCAGGTTCTTTTGTGAGATTTATAGTTAAGGTTCAGTTAAAGGAAATGTGCTTTGCACATCAAGTTACAATGCACAATTGATTTGGTGGATTGCAATATTTCTGTGCTTTAAAACTGTTGTTTCTATGGAGACTAGGTGGTAGGCTTCACCACTGATGCAGATTATGATCCTGAACTGATTTTACAGTAAATGTGGACAAGAAAATAATCTGTTGTTGCTGTTAAACATGGAGCTAAGAGAGATAAACAGTTTCAACCAAAGTCTCAGTCCAAGAACTCCCCTCTGATTCCTCTGTTTTGTTGACAGGAAGTGACAGAAATACTTGTGTTCTGACCCTCCTCTGACTCGCCATGTGTGTCTCCATTCTGCATTGCCCATCCATGTCTGCAATATCTGTTTGAAGAGACAGCGAGGCTGCAGGCTCTGCTCGACCATAACAGACCCAGTTTTAGCAGGCGACCGAAGAGAAGGAGGGGAAACGAGTCAGAAGTAGGGCTGTGTCTTTGTTTTCCAGTGTGAAGTTACAGATGAACAAGAGTTTGACCTGCTGATTATCTTAGGTGTTTGTTTTGTTGTTTTTTTTCACTGACAACCTTATAGCTAAGAACCCCCCCATCCCCTTAAACCCTGCTGGAATGTGTCTCCAATAACAGCATTAGGTGTCACAAGGTCCACATCACATGGCACCCACGGCTCTTCCCACAGGTTTGAAAAAAAGCTCTTAAGGTCTTCTAAACTTCACAGAAGGACAATCAGGTAGTCATGTCAGTCAAGAATTAAAATAAAAACATTACATTATAGAGACCTTATGCTTCATATATTGGAAGATATTATCCAACAATGTGCTTAAAACACCTGAACCCTAGAAAATGGTCTTTAAGGAGCCTGTAACGTGTATGCATATTTGTTAACTGTAATGTCAACTATAGTTAGACATTTATCTTCTATAATCCAGATGCAAAACAAAGGAACTTATATTTATAAATTAAAATATATAATTTTTCTAGAGGAAAAATGATAAAGGATGGATGAGAAGTACTGTGCTGCAAACAAGTGGCTGCAAAATGTACGCACTTTTAAACTTACGCTTTGATGCACCTTCTTGATTCCCTTTGATGGCCTTGGATTTACATCTTCCATTGACTCATCTGAATTTGATCATGCAAACATAAAGTTCAGTTGGATTTTCGTGATATTCATTCATTTACATGTCGCGTAGGCCATAGGTGAAAGATCTCTGAGTGAAGCAGTTCGTCAGGAGCATTAGAGATACAATATGGTAAGTGAGGGAATCAGCAAGAGCGATATTAGAAAAACTGAATAAAAAACACCCTCAACTAGCTATAATATGCCAATCATTATTGGTGTGTTTCATTCTGATGAAAAAATATCTGAATCCTGTTCTGGTTCTTGGCATTTGTTGGTTTTGCCCCAATGCTTTTAGATGTGGACTAGGAAGTCTTTATTATGCATCACAGTAAGACCAGTCATGGATTAATATAAACAGAGGAATATCTTCATGAGATGAACTGTGTTGGAAAGACCTTACCAGAGTTCAGAACTATGGTAGAAAAAAAACTGAGGGCTTAAGAGGGCTGTGGACAACAGACGTCTCCAGAGTCTGATTGATTAGAAAAAGTCTGCAGGATGATGTGGGATCCTGATTGACCCAAACTAAAGAAGATAGAGGCCTTCCCCTTTTACTTACGTAACCACATTATTAAACCTTTACAAAGGTGACCCTAACCTTTAGTTACACACTTCATCTTGCCTCTTGAGAGGCTTAATGCATATGCAGCCACCCATATGGGCCACTGCCATTGTTTTTGACAATGTACTAAAACACAAAGAGACTTTGTGCTGACCTACTTTGTAGAATCCAGTGCACCTTATAAGCCGAAATGAGAATAGATCAGATTTTTTTTGGATTAAAAGGCACAAAAGAAGATCACAGTGTTAAATTTACCCTTTGTTCAATCATCAAGAAATCCCTGAACTACTGGAAATTATTTTTGGGACTATCATAAGTCAATCCACCACACCATTAAGCAACTCTTTCGAGACATTATAGACTTCCAACAACTGAGAAATTAACATTATAAGTGAAGGATGTAAAGCATGATTAATATTCATTGACATTTACAATTAGGATTACCTCTGTTAACTACCTGTCCTATTTGTGAGGCAATATATTTTTTTCTTTTTTTTGGGGGGGGGGGGGGGGGGGGGGGGGGGGATTCTTTATGTTTAATTCAAATGTGCTTAATTTATTGATGTTTTTATGAAAACTGCACAACATTTCTTAACTTCTTAACATCCACCTCATTTTGGGTAATCCTTGCCTATTTTGCATACCCAAATGGAAAAGCAAATAACTTAGGAACTGTAAGCTCAAATTACATGTGCAATACATTATTTGAAAGCTAACACCCTCTAGTTTCCTAATATATAAATAAAAATCAGGTGACTAGAACACAGACTAACCTGCATAAGTTCAAACATGACTCAAAGTTGTTGTTTTTTTATTCTTGGAAATTATAGGTCTTTTTTGAACAGCAGTAATAATGACATTCTTGAGAAAAGGCAGGTTTTATTGTATTATATTTCTTCTACATCATGTCAACCACAAATGCAGAACATTGCAGACCTCTAGCTATAATAGTTCCAGAGCTGTAGGGTTTGAAACTTTTGGTGTCAGCTTGTAGCTGCGCGCAATGGCTCCATCTGCTGGTAAAAATTTTACCGGTGGTAGGTCGCCGGCGACCCGGTGGGTTTAAAGAGGTTGTTTATAAGAAAAGAAAAAGTGATGTTATAAAACTTGTTGGGTTATCTGGTTGCCTCTGCAAATAAGATTACAATTTTAAAGGGTTACAAGACCATGTGAAATCATAAACATAACAATGCAACTTTTAAAATAAAAGGATAAAGGTTTAAAAACTCACCACACCTCTGTTCAGTTGTGCTGCTTTACTTGGGTCAAATAAAGTCACAAAAATACGAGTACATACTCTGTTACTAAGTTCCTTAGATATGTTTTTGAGCATAAAGGTAGGTTTTGAAGTATTGCTAACAATACATGTAATATGTCCACCTTAGTATGAGCGCATAACACATTCTCAATCAAAGAAAAGCAGTGTTCAAATGTATTTATTTTTATTCTCAACTATATTTTTCCATTCAAATACTTTTTTCTTTGTTTGAAAATGTTTCTTTTCATTACAGTGAAGGTTTTTTATTGAAAATATATTTTTTGATTGAAGCAAACTTTCATTAAATTGAATGTAAAGAAACAAATATCCCTTCATAATCTAACTTCATAGTTTTGATCCATTAGGAAATCCAGCTAAAATTTCAGTGTTTCAAGTGCCACTTTCGTGATGCAATGGGGCATATGCAAATCCACTTTAAAATATTGTTGTCTAGACAAATGCTCTTTATGAAAATAATAACAGTTTTATTTTTACATCAAAGTTGTCTTTAGTTCTCTTTGTGTTTTTGCTGTTTCAGGTTCCTTAAAATCACTCTAAGTCTAAGCAGACAGTGATTAATAGAAAGTCCTACTAAGCCGTAGAAAATATATTGTAAGGAAAGCTATCTGCTTTTGCCAGGAAAACAGAACATCTTAAATGAAACTCGTGAAAATGGAATCACCATTCTACACAGTGGTGGAACAGAAAGGAAGGAAGAGAAGCAGGGTGGGCGGGATAAAAGAAATGCCCACGAAAGTGCTGACACATCCCTGACAAAAGAGAACAGGGTGTATCACTCAGCACCCCAGACACCAGTGTGGACAAACTGCAAGTTTGTACGTCAGAACCTGCCCAAAGGAACGGGAACCTGGATCTGAGCTTCTGCTGAAAGCAACAGGCGCCAGAAAAGTAGCATTACTATGTAGGCAAGGACAAGAGCGTCAAACACTTGTGTGCACCCACCCAAGCATACATATTTCTACCCCCCAAAAGTATTTCAACCATTTTATCTTTGACATGTCGCATGAAAGAAAAAAAGATCTCAGGTTTCAACATCATTTTAAAAAAAAAATCTGAAAAGGAATACTTTGATTTTTTTTTTTTATTCAGCTGGAGGCATCTTTCTTCAGACACCAAGTGATTAGTAAATAGAGTCCAGTCTGTGTCTTTAATCTACATTCAAATAAAGCTGAAGGCCTCTGAGGTCTCAACATTTTCTTTTTAGAGTGAGCATCAGGACAGAGAAGCTCAGATCAAATCCCATTTACTGTTAAAGTGGACCAGTCAGAGTACTAACAAGGCTTTTTTTGAGAGGAGCTGAAATATAATTTTCACAGTTCCTGTCAATCCGATCAGGTTAAGGTTGAAATGAATTGCGAGCAATTCAGTTCCTTTCTTTTTCTGACACTTATACCAATTTTGTGTTGGTCTTTTCAATAAAATTTAAGTAAAATACAGTCTAGTTTACTATTGCAAAGTAACAAAATGTGAAAAATGAAAGGGCTGATATATATCTAGCAAGAAAAGCTGAACTTATTACTAAACCAAAGTGTATGAATCCCTTGGCTGCATGTGATTTTTTTTTTTTTTTTACAAGGAGGCCCTGCTTCGCCTGCATCTGTGTGTTTGCACTATAGCAATCAACAGGTTTGACAATCTTAGCTTCTCTGTGGCTTTGTGAGTTTGGACCCTTTTTTTCTTCCTCTTAGGGGAAATGTCAGTGAGGGGGGAGAGTTTTATTACAGCCTATGATACCAGCTGTTTAAATGCTTCCCCTCTCCAAAAGAAGACACCCCTCTTCCTGTCTTCCAGGCATGTCCTTCAGCTTGTGTGCAGACATTATGCAGCTTCTCTGGATTTCAAGGTCCTTAATTTCCAGAGTATGATCCTTGCATGTTATTTTGCTCGGTTAAATCCAAACCAATTAGAACATAACAGTGATGAACTGGTAAAAAGGTTGCATGTAATTTGTAAATAGATGTGCATTCAAGAGATATGCACATAACACATGTCTAACTATCTGTGTGTGAGTGTGTCTTCTCTGATGGCCGCCGACTACACCTCCCTCATCTTTTCACTGCCGCAACAGCTGTCTCTTGTCAGTGTTGCAGCAGCTGAGGACGAAGGGAGGGGTGCAAAGAGAACATTTAACAGCCTTGGTTCTGATCGAGGGGGCTGGAAGTGGGAGTGTGGACTTGGTTAACGGAACATCAGGATCACATTTAGAACTAGGAAAAACGCTTGTGGGAATAAGCTCAGGGCGTCGGCTGGGTATGCAGGGGAGGAAGTAAGAGGTCACTGGAGTGTGCCCGCTCATCTGCGTGCATTCTCCTGTGTGTCCATCACAAAGTCTATTGAAAACACTCCTTGTTTGTATTATTTCAGACAGCCTGCAAAGGACAGCGCTGATCTGTCCTCATGCAAGCCTCAGGGTAAAGGTCAGGACCGAAACATGCAGTCGACTACATCAGTGTGACACATAACCTTTGAACCCTCTCTGCCAAGGCCATCTGCCAGCATGAATGCTTTTTAATCTTCTGGGTGGTTAAAATTGATAGAGGGCCTGCAGCAGGAGATACTAGCGCAGGATCCTCAGGAGATGTGGGAAAATCATCTCTCAGTTAGACAGAAGAATTGTTGAAGGGAGATAAACACTGAGTGGGTGTTTTTTCTTAATATTATATTACTAATACCAGTAGATACAAAGAAATTAACATAAATTGTTCCCTTAATTTATATTTGTGAAATAAAGGTGAATAATACAGGGAACCACAATTAAACATATGAATTGGGTTTAAGTCGGGTGGTTGACTGTTCAAGCAGCATTAATGTTCTGCTTGGTTCTTGATGGAAAATCAAACAATTTTCGTTTCCTCCTTAAGCTCTTATCAGGAAGGCCTGTTTAAATTTCATCATTTACCCTTCCCTCATGTGTATAATTGCAGGACTAGAATCTTGAAAAAAAAAATGCCTCTGAACTCCTCCTCTGTGATTTTAATAACTCCCAAAGAGTTTGAATATATGCACTCATTATTTTACAGGTTGTTCCTATTTTTCAGGCTTCAGAATACCTTTCTTCATCAGTGGAGCATTGATCAATGATCAATGGGTAATCAGAAGTTTGGAAAATATCAAGCTACTTTTTTTTAACTAAAAGATTCTAAGTGACTTGAAAGCATCTCAACTTTTAAACATCTTTAGATATAATAATGTACTTTGATAAGAAAAACGTTTTTTTTTTAAAGCCAACAGATAACTACTAAATTGGAACTGATTGGGGACAGTGTTGCTTTTTAGTGCTGAAATTTTTTCTGGGCTTTCCACACTTTTTGCGGCTTCTTAATGTCTTCAGGACCTCTATCCTGTGCCATTCCACTTTATGACACAAAGTTTAACATATATATCAACTTTTTGGATGCCTTGGGTTGTTGCCAACATCTGTTGTGACTTTCATGCCAGAAACCCCATTTGAACTATATTAACTGAGGAAAAAACCTTGACGTGTTCAGTCCTTTTTTTCCCTGCTGTGTGAGCTGGTTCTCCATTAAGTTTCAAAGGTCTGGTTATAGAATGAGAGGAGGAGTTTACCAGAAAAACTGAGAGGAAAAATTGAAACTGATGACATATTCCAGGTTTTTACCTGGCAGAGATCAGACTGGCGCTGAGTCCCACATTTACAGGAAAAGCAGAGTTTTAATTTATTCCTAATGCCCCATTAACCAGTGCTTAGCTTTGCTTATTTTATTATTGCAATAAATCCAGTAAGGGGAACATCTAATCTTTTTTTGCTTTTATTCTAAACACTACATTAGATGATGAAATTAGGTCATGCCTTGTATTGAAAAAGAAAAGAGTGAAATAAGGGAAGCATTCAGCCATTCTAAAGATGAGTTATATAATATTCAGCTTTTAAGTACACAATGGAGTCCAAAGCCTTGAATGTCCACCTTGCATAAAGAGAGTCTATTACTGTCATGTTTCATATATAAACTGCATTTTGCTTTTGAGAAAAAAAAAAAAAAAAAAAAAAAATATATATATATATATATATATATATATATATATATATATATATATATATATATATATATATATATATATATATATATATATATATATATATATATATATATATATATATATATTTAAAGAAAAAACAACATTAGGCTGTCTTTTTTTTGTTTGGTTTTGTTTGCTCAGAGACAGCATCTGTGGTGCTGCTCAAAAACGTACACATCAAATGGCTTCCAGTTCATAATGCTCCTGAATGACTATGTCATGCCTATACTATTTTTACTGCGGACGGCCATATCCTCCTTGTAAAATGTGTGAAAAAATATATAAAGCTGTGAGTAAAATTATAAATATCAATAGCTATGTATGCAGAGTTTGACAAATAAAAATTATGGTTCTCCTTATCACAGAGACTTTGAGCTCCATTTAAAACAAAAGGGGGGAAAATGTGCTTGAACACAAGCTTCTACCTCTATAACCCTTTACCTTCAAATACTGTTTACAGAGTCTTGCAGAAATATTAGAGCAGGAAGGTAATTCTCACACACTGACAACCACACTCACTGCTTTCTATTGCTTTTTTATTTTGCATAAACGCAATAGAAAACGTTCTCAAGGTAAAGGATTAGTTTTAATCCTTTCTCCCAGTGGATGCTGTGAAGCATTCACACTATTGAGATCTTTTCTCTTTTCTTATCATCTTTTTTTTGTTTGTATTGACGATACACACAAAAAAGGGATAAATCTTTCATGCATCCACCTGTCGTCCTACAACTGAATATACAGCAACTGCCTGATTCCGACCGAGAACTTCCTGGGAATTTTTTGCCCCTCTCAACACCGGGGGCATCCTGGGTTTCAAATCTGCTACATATTTTGTGTAAATTATCTTCCCAGGAGTGTCTCTGCTCGAGTATATTTAGTTAGCTTGTAATTCCTAGTGGCAGAAGCCTGTATGAAACCTGATTTGCATTCTTGTTGGATCCCGTTTCTTCTTGCATCGCCTTTAAATTCAGAATAGCAGACGAAGAGCATTGCAAATCTTCAAGGCCTCTGAAGGCAGAGTAAGAGGCGCTGTCTGAAATGCAAAACCTCCATTTCTGCCTCATGTGTTTAGTCAAGTTGAATGACCATAAGTGTAATCCCAGTCAGCGTCGCAAGAGAGGGGCCCTGTCTCTGCCCTCCATACCACAGAACCGCAAGGAGATGCCAAGCCAACCCACAGCAGGGAGGAGGGGGAGGAAAGGGAATATTATAATGCACACGTCTTTTTCCACACAGATACTCTTAAAATGATCTATATCCTATTTGCATTCCAGTCTTTCCTGCTGACACTAATTCAGATATTCTTGTTTTAACCGAGGAAGTGCAGTGTTTGTAATATTTAAGTGGGGCTGCAGTGGACCATCTAATCTGACTGCAAAGAAGTTTGGAGTTTTATGCGTCACCGGTATGATTGTAGATGTGGTTGGTTGGGGAAAAACTGAACCATTTCTGCTGGATTTTCAGCTCTTATTCCTTTCCCCAGTAAAAAAAAAAGGGACTGGGTACACTAGAATTTTGACTGCATGGTGTTGATTATTTTGTTTTAGTGGAGTTAGGTATAATTCTCTCTCTTTTTAAGTCCTGGTGCAACTTTGTTTCATTTATTTATGATTTTCTGACAGCTCCACTCCAGATTTTCTGCAGCCTGCTCTGACACACTCTGGAAACCTAGCAGCTTTGTTTTGGAAAACTGCCTCCAGAGGTCAGATCCTCATCCAGTCTGCTGCATATTCTGACACAAGGCCACCAGGGATTTACTCTGGTTATTACTGAGCCATGAGAGAAAATGGGGAGATAAACAGGACACAGAAACAGTGGACAGATGACGTTGAAACTATCTGTACAGAGCCCACTGCTACTGATGCTTTACCTCTGGGGAGATCCATTTCTCTCTGGGTCTATAGATTTAGAGTTAATGTTGAAAATTAGCTGCTCAGTGTTACTTTCATCCATACAATCTACCTGCAATGACCTTTGTTTTAATCTGGCCAACCAAACTTTTAGTAGAATATTCTTTATCCTTCAACTCATGTTTCCTGTATCAGATAGTGACTGAGTCAAAGTCAAACAATCTGTAAACACTTTAGTTGGGAAGTTGAGAAGGAAGATTATCTGTCTTTTAATGCTTTGGTGTCTTATAAACACAATACCACCAACAGTGACTAGTGAAAAATTATTGAAAAAAATATATATTTTCCTAATAACAGAAACTTATTTTGATACTCAAATAAGATGCAATTATTTCAAAGGAAAGGGAGGTTTTAGATGAGTAGGTTAAATAAAGATTTTGGAACGTATCTCAGTCTGAAAGGTTTCTTTTTAATAAATGTATAAGCCTTAGATTCTAAAGGTATTTCTGTGCTTTTGTTTGCGAATTCCTTATGAAGTAATAAACACGTTGGTCAACAAAATTCTGTTAGATGTGCATGTTGGACTTTTCAACTGACTCCAGTTTGGACAAATGTGAAATGAAAGTGAATGAAATGTAACTCCTCACTTCCATCTAAAAACACACATTTAAATCAAATATCTACACACAAAGACACATTTAAGGTTATTTTTTTATAAACATTTTCTGATTTAACTTACACCCAAACATTATAGAAATCCCACAAATGTGCACAACTCACTCTATGTTTTCCATGGTCTCTCCCAGAACCTGTAAGTGGTGCCTGGACCCCTGGGAAGCATTTGTCCAAACACCATAGAGAGAACACTGAAAAGATAGGTAAGTAACTTTTCTAGAACCACAACACTTCTTTTGAACTCACTTTTAACAAACTTTACACTAACATTTGCTGAAGTTTCTAAACAGTAACCCTTGCTTGCTCTAAACATAAATTTTCTTTTCCACAGACAACCACCCCAATTCCTAATGGAGAGCAGCTGTGGAGAGCCTGGAACAAAAGGCTACACGCTAACTATTAAAATACACAATAAATATTAAATAAATATTTTAAAAACCTTTTGTGCAAACTGTTCTTTATGTGCAAATCTATGCTTAAAGTGCAGTGCTACATAAAGTGTCCTAGTGCTAACCAAGCTGGTTTGTAATAAAGTGCAAAGGCCCCTTTAGAGTGCTACAAGCTATTTACATAAAAAGCTATTTTCATAAAAATAGTCCCAGTAATGAAGACCTCTTCATTACAAATCCAAAGGGAACTATGAATTCATTGGGAGAGTATACAAACTCCACACCTATTTGCTGTTCCGGCAACTTTGACCCTGAGCAGCCCTAAAAACCTGACTACTCTAAAGTCACGTAGTGCGATATCAGGAGGTCTTATTGGCTATTGCTCTGAGCTTTTATAGGTACTTCAGTGAAGATCTCATTTCCCATGTTTTGTCTTTATTAAGTGAAAATTTGAGTTTTTACATCTTTTTCTTTTTATACTTCTTTATAAACACCATTTTAATATTGTTTTGCTGTAAGTTCTGCTTGTCTTTAATTATGTTTGAAAAATTACTAGAATTAAGTTAAGTTGAATTGAATAAAAAAAACCTGACATTTATGAAAAATGTAGGTTATTAAGGTCAGGAGGTTGAATTTTATCCATCCAATAGATCTAAAATTATTTTTGTCAGGGACACACGTCACTTACCAAAGTCCAATTTCATGTCCTCCAGCGTTTCATAGAAGGCACGGTTTCCCCCCTTTTTTTTTTTTTTTTTTTTTTTTTTTTTTTTTTTGCAATAGTAGAAAAAATGACATTGAAAGAACATGATACTAACCCATTAATTAAATTCAAAGTTTGTAATTGATTTCTCCTTATTTTAATATTTATTGATATTTTTCTCCCTTTTCCCAGTTTTACAGTGGACAAAAATATGCATTACTTTCAAACATTAGAATGCATCACAATTATTTTGTAATCATGGGTTCTTTTGTCTTTTTTTTCTGTATTGCTTAGGCATACTGAGTATTAGGCTACCTGTGGGTGAAAATTTGCCATAAGTATACAACTGAGTCGGTTTAAAATTAGTAAACAATTAACAGATACTAAAAGGAAATGACATTTTCTTGGCTATAATACCTGCTTATTAAAAATCAACAAATTGTCTTTCATGGAGGATTAAATATATGATAGTATGATGAGCAACTCATCAAACCCACTTTATCGCCTAAAGCTGAAATAAAGAGATGTCTGTGGCCCAACAGCGCCACTCTGTGGTCAGAAAAGGGTAGTACACCCTTTCAAGCTTCCACACTTTTTTTTTTTTACAAACTTTATTTACAAATAAAGAATATACAATTGCAGACAGTTGTATGCTCAAGGTATTGGGGTAACATAACTACAGGATTCCATGAAACAGAAAAAGAAATGAATGACAAATTAAGTTCACCACTTAGGGTTATAAGTTTCATAGCTTTAGAGTTGGTGCATTTTTTTTGAGGAGTCCAAAAAACATCTCACATATGCTCTAAAAACATCTTCCACAACTTTCATAGCAAATATCCCAGAAATAAACGTACCATCTCTTCAAAACAAAAGCATCAATGTTTTAATAATTGCAAATAACAAAAACATTTACCAGTTTCTGTAATCATTTTATAAAAGAGAGACATTTTGCCATTTTTACGTGGTTATGACCAACATGTAAAAATATAAGATTTTTTTTTTTTTAATCTAAATAATATCTTAATGTGAAAGGATTCAAGCGGAAGTGCATGTGTCACCTCCATTCCCATTGTGCGTCTTACAGCTGGAAGCCAGCAGGTTGTGGGACACTGAGGAAGATGAAGATGAAGGCGGTGGTTGTGACAGTGCTGCTGGCTGCCGCCCTCTCCTACTACATCTACACCCCGCTGCCTGATGGCATCCAGGAGCCCTTCAAGCTGATGGTTGTGGATGCTTCCTTCAGGACTGCCATAAACCTGGTAGGAGAAGATCTGTTATCCAGCGTCTGGTAGATTTGAAGATGCAAATTGATCTTTTACTTTTGCATAATATTGCTTTTCTGTTCTGGGTTTTTGTAAATAAAGGAACATGTTTGAAAAGACTCTGAGATCATCTGAACGTTTCCCTGGTTTTGACATGTGTTATTTAAACTTTGACCTGCTTTCTTAAGTCAACACGCTTTATTGTTTGACATGTTTTGTCGCTTATTGCTTTTGCACACTTAAAATGTAGCTGCAAATGTAGCTAATTTCAGAATGCACCTTTTAGTACTATTATCTTCAATGCAAATGCTTACAACCTCAATCAAAAGAATGCACCTGAAAATGCAAGTTTTTTTTTTTTTTTCCAGAAACAATGCAAGTTTTCTCATGGCACAAAGCTGCAAAGTCACTCCTATGAGGGCATTAGGAAACACTGCTGAGCTTCACCTTTGTTCCATATTGGTAAAGTCTCCCTGTAGAGGCAGAAGGGGCGTGTGATTCTGAACTGGTTATAGTTAATGTGCTGATTAGAAAGAAACCTGTTGGTCTCTTGAAGGAACTGGTACCGCTTTGCTTATTTGGTAAACCTTACTGGTATAGAATGATGACTATTTTCATTGTGTTGTTTAATCCTTCTGGTCATTGTATTTAATTTTTCTTTTTTTTTGTCCATCAAAGGCAGCTAAATTCCAAGTATCGTGTGATTGGGAACAGGGACGGAGCTAGATGGGTAGCCAGGGGTGGCCATGGCCAGCCTTAGATAATCATTGGCCACCGCTGTGGCCACCCCTACCATTCCCCCCCCCCAATACAGACGGTGGGAGCAGTAATACTCTCAAGTGGAATATTCAAAACATTTAAACTTTTCATATAACAATTACTTGACAACAAAAACAGTGTGGTTAATTATGCACATCAATATACTAACATTAAAGATGATAATTCATGCTCTTCTTTCAGAACTAGATTTTGAGTTATCTGGGGTAAAGAGAAAATGAGGTGTCTCTAAAAGTCATCTAGTAATATTCAGTGAAATCATAGATAAATAACTATTTTAATAAAAACTTAATAATCAATTTATGCAGATATTAGTACTTGGTAATATCAATTTTATGCAGAATTATTGTTAATAAAGTAGGTAAGTATCGACAAAGGAAGAGATGTTCGCCCCAGAACTCAAAACTGAAAGAATTGTATCCACTATACCTTTTTATCTAGAAAGCACAGATGTTTGAATATATTCGTCTTTTTGTTAGCAAAGATTGTAGGAAAGTATAGTTTGTCTTAATTAGAGAATATAGATGTTGTGCTCGTTACTTTTCCTGTTGGAACACTGTAGATTGACCCTGAAGTTCTGCCTGGCCACCCTTTTAAAAAATTTCTGGCTACGCCTCTGATTGGGAACCTGAAGGAAAATATAGTTTTCACTTTTTTTTTTCTTTTTTCATTTACAAAGAAGAGCCTTCAGTCCATCATCCTTCTGCGTTTCACTCAGTTGCCTTTAAATCAAAGGAGCTTAACACTATCTTAACTGTTCAGACAGAGAATTTAACAGCTTAGTATAAAACTGCTGATGTTGCTTGCTTATTGGGGTCCTGGGTTGTAATTACTATAAAAAAAACTTTAATAATCTTTAATGATTCAGACAAATGTTGCTTCATATTCTAACTGAGAGCCCTCTGTACCAAACAGCTGGGATTTCTGGCATTTGTTCTGGGTTAGTATTGGGAGAGTCTGGGTGAGGGCTCAGTAATACATAGGGCAGGAGAATAGAGGTGATTAGGTCAGATGTTGATGACGTCTTTTCATTTTATCCGTTTGACATGTTTATTTGTACAGGCTGCATTGAAATACTGGCTCGGTCTCGACCATTACATCACATCATTCAGGCAGACGTTGGAGGGCTTCGACTCAACAATATCGGCACTGCTGGGTTCCACATCTCCTGCAGGGGTGGTCCCAGGAGTGAAGGTGAGCGACATCACCTTCGCCGGTGTCCCAGTGAGAGTTTACGAGCCGCCAGCTGGAGGAGAGGGTCACCTGAGGAGAGGCTTGATGTATTTCCACGGAGGTGGCTGGGCCTTCGGCAGTGGCAGTGAGCAAAGATTTGTTATTTTATGTAGAATAAATAACGATTTGCTTCTTCAGACATACTAAAACATCGTTTAGAAATGTATGTCTTTATTAGGAGTATATATTTTAGCTGGAAAATGTTTTTATAACTGTTGTCCCTTATTTTTCTTCAGAGATGGGTGCCTATAATAAAATGACTCAGATGATTTCAGATGAACTGAACACCGTTGTCGTCTCTGTTGAGTGAGTTTGACCTATTCTGTCCCTTATGTTGTTTACTTATTAACTGACGTGCTGTAAACTTTCAGTTAAAGTAATGGTGCCTTGCAGAAATAATTAAAACCCTCTGAAGTTTCTCAGATTATATTCCATTTCAACCAAACTTTAAAGTATTTTATTAATAATCTAACCAAAAGAAAACCACATAGTAGCTTTTAGTTATGAAGGGGAAAGAAAATAAAGCATGCTGTTCAACATTTTACACAAATATAGCTCAATAGTCAATGAGCCAAAGCAGAGCAGTTTGGATGGAACTACTATATTCTCTTGTTAAAACAGCCTAGTCAAAGTCCATACCAAAATGCAATAAAGAATCTTTGCGCGTGTTTGAGCTATTTTTACAAAGACATTAATAATTATGTTTATTGGTTCGTCTAGGCACACCCAGAAAGATTTGCTGCTGCAAGAAATTATTTACATCTGTTTTTTTCCCCTCCATTGTCACATTACAGCCTTATTCAAAAAACAGTTGGAGGATGGCCTCCCTTTAAACAGAACACATGAACTAATGGAAGATAAGGACATGATTCAGTTTAGTTTTCAGATCTTCCTTGCAATTTAATAAGAAAATATAAACATTAGTATAACAGGTACATAAGCATTCAAACCATTTTCACTTGGCATTTGAGATACTTGAATAGTGGGCTCAAGAGCATATAATTCTCCTTGAGATCTATGTCTTGATTTGAGTCCATCACTTCTCACTCCAGTCCTTTAGGTGGCAGTAGTAAGCTTAATGTGGATTTACCCTCCAGCAGTCAATTCCCATGTCAATAGACTGGACAAGAAAAGATTTGATGCAAACATGCTTTCAGAGAAAAATTTAGACTTTTGTCTAGATCACACAACACTACTCTCAAGCATGGTGGTGGCAGGATTGTGCTGCGGGAATATGGACTAATAGCAGGTAATGGTTGACTAAGCTGCATAAAGGTGTACAGCAGCCGTGTAGGAATACTTGCAGAACTCAGACTGAGGAGACGGTTGAACTTCTAAGATGGCAATTACCAGAAACACACAGCTAGGGTAACAAAGCAGCTAAAAGAGGAGTAGGAAATATTACAGAATAGATCTGCATAACCTGGAGCAACATGTCCAAACGGTGTACATGCTGACAAATATTTTGCTTCAAAAATGTATTCAAGGCATGTGTTTAAGTATATGTGGATTTATTGTGATTCAATTATTTTCAAATTTGCAAAAATGTCTGAAAAGTCTTTTTTTTTTTTTACTTCATATTGACAATTTTTTGTACATTTGTATGGTTAAATGGGGGTATGAACTCTCTTTTGGAGGAAAATCACTTTTTCAGGAAAATAACTGAGTAAATTATGTTTTTTATTTTTGTTTTTAAGTACGATTTGGTGGTATTAACTCTTCAAATGTTCTTTAATTTTGTGTAGATATCGCCTGTTTCCAGAGGTGCACTTTCCTGAGCCGTTTTTAGACTGTCTTAGTGCTGCCAAACACTTCTTATCTCAGGAGGTTCTGGCCAAATACTCCATCGACCCTGAGCGTGTTGCTGTGTCAGGAGACAGCGCTGGTGGAAACCTGGCCGCCGCTGTAGCTCAGGAGGTACTCACTGCACACTGAATCCTGGACTCATGTGATCATCAAGCTGCAAGCTGATGATCACATGATTATTTATAAGTGTCTGTTTTTCTTAGATTTCTACAGATGACAGCGTTTCTGTGAAATTCAGCATCCAGGCACTGATTTACCCAGCCCTCCAGGCTTTGGATTTCAACACACCTTCCTACGTGCAGAATGATAATATGGCCATCCTCCCGAGGCGAGTCATGGTCCAGTTCTGGCTGCAGTACCTTGGCGCTGACATCTCCCTGCAGCCCCAGGTCATAGCAAACAACCACAGCGCCCTGCAGCACTCGCCTCTCACCCCAGAGCTGAGGTCTCAGCTAGACTGGACCTCCCTCCTTGCTCAGAGGTTTAAGAAAAGCTTCAAGCCCGTCGTTGTGGAGAGAGAATCCCAAGGGCTGCTGAAGAAGGTACCGGCGTTTCTGGATGTGCGATCATCACCTCTTTTGGCCGGGGCGGAGGTGCTGGCTAAATGTCCTCGTGCGTACATCCTAACATGCGAGTACGACGTGCTGAGGGACGACGGGCTGATGTACGCCCGCCGTTTGCAAGACGCTGGCGTGTCTGTCTCCAGTGATTACTATGAGAACGGATTCCATGGATGTTTGAGCTTCACATCCTGGCCTTTGGGTTTTGATGTAGGGAAGAGGGTACTGAGGGGCTACATTAACTGGCTGCAGGAAAACTTGTAAGAATTGGTTTAAACTTGCGTCAGACTTAAAGAAATGCACTTGCCCTTTCGGTGAAATGTGTCTTACTAAAGGGCTATGTTGTTTTTTCTTTGTCCAAAGCTCTACAATCTAAGCTCGGGGCCTCAGGGTGCATGGATATCCACGCTCTAAAAATGATCTTTGATATTTTGCTACACAGACAGTAGGTACCATCAGGACTCTCCCACTGTGACCAACTAAGCAATGACTAAAGCACTTTTACAGATGTAGTTGGTGCAAAAACATTTAACAAAAAACTAAACAGAAGATAAATAAAATACTTTCAGATATTTGATTGAGATGGACTAAGATTCTTGCCTTTCAGACATACACTATATTGCCAAAAGTATTTGCTCACCTGCCTTGACTCACATATGAGCTTAAGTGACATCCCGTTCCTAATCCATAGGGTTCAATATGACGTCGGTCCACCCTTTGCAGCTAGAACAGCTTCAACTCTTCTGGGAAGGCTGTCCACAAGGTTTAGGAGTGTGTTTATGGGAATTTTTGACCATTCTTCCAGAAGCGCATTTGTGAGGTCGCACACTGATGTTGGACGAGAAGGCCTGGCTCTCAGTCTCCGCTCTAATTCATCCCAAAGGTGTTCTATCGGGTTGAGGTCAGGACTCTGTGCAGGCCAGTCAAGTTCATCCACACCAGACTCTGTCATCCATGTCTTTATGGACCTTGCTTTGTGCACTGGTGCACAGTCATGTTGGAAGAGGAAGGGGCCAGCTCCAAACTGTTCCCACAAAGTTGGGAGCATGGAATTGTCCAAAATGTCTTGGTATGCTGAAGCATTCAGAGTTCCTTTCACTGGAACTAAGGGGCCAAGCCCAGCTCCTGAAAAACAACCCCACACCATAATCCCCCCTCCACCAAACTTTACACTTGGCACAATGCAGTCAGACAAGTACCGTTCTCCTGGCAACCGCCAAACCCAGACCCGTCCATCAGATTGCCAGATGGAGAAGCGCGATTCGTCACTCCAGAGAACGCGTCTCCACTGCTCTAGAGTCCAGTGGCGGCGTGCTTTACACCACCGCATCCGACGCTTTGCATTGCACTTGGTGATGTATGGCTTGGATGCAGCTGCTCGACCATGGAAACCCATTCCATGAAGCTCTCTGCGCACTGTTCTTGAGCTAATCTGAAGGCCACATGAAGTTTGGAGGTCTGTAGTGATTGACTCTGCAGAAAGTTGGCGACCTCTTCGCACTATGCGCGTCAGCATCCGCTGACCCCGCTCCGTCAGTTTACGTGGCCTACCACTTCGTGGCTGAGTTGCTGTCGTTCCCAAACACTTCCATTTTCTTATAATACAGCTGACAGTTGACTGTGGAATATTTAGGAGCGAGGAAATTTCACGACTGGATTTGTTGCACAGGTGGCATCCTATCACAGTTCCACGCTGGAATTCACTGAGCTCCTGAGAGCGACCCATTCTTTCACAAATGTTTGTAAAAACAGTCTGCATGCCTAGGTGCTTGAATTTATACACCTGTGGCCATGGAAGTGATTGGAACACCTGATTCCAATAATTTGGATGGGTGAGCAAATACTTTTGGCAATATAGTGTAGTTTGCTTGAATTATTCTACTTTTGCATCTATTGTCATTAATCTCACACTGCAAAAAATAGAAATCTCAATAAGTTATTTTTTTCTTAAAATAAGTGCATTTTCCCTTGAATTGAGGAGGTAAGTGAGACATTTTGCCAATGGAACAAGACGATTTCCTTTTAAAATAAGAAAAAACAATGTTATTGTCTTATTTCAAGTGCATATTATCTAACTATCTTATTTTAAGATTAAAAATACTAATTCCATTGGCAGATCATCTTATTTACCTGCTCAAATTAAGGGTAAATATACTTAATTTAAGATTTTTTTACTTATTTCTGGAATATTTTTGCAGTGTAGATTTGTATAAAATCTTTGCACTAGGTTATCTTGATCCTTAGAAATCAGGGGCAGATTGCACTTTTAGTTCCTGGTATTTAAGAGGCTAGATCATTCAGGCAAAAGTATTCACACCCCTTATACTTCCATGGCTTTTGTTCTGCTGCAGTCACAGTTGCAAGTATTTTCTGGTCTCTTTTACCAGCTTCATAAATAAGGATTTGTTTCCCGTCACATAATAGTTCAAATGTGGTTCATGTAGGTCTGGGTTTTGACTTGGCCATTCAAACCCATAACAATACATTTATCTAAAGCATTTGATTGGAACGCTGACTAGGCTGGATTTCTAAGGGTTGTCTTTCTGTCTGAAGTTGAACCTCCACCAAAGGCTTCCAGGTTTACCCTCCATTTAGATCCCTTTCACTTTTAATTAAACTCAGTTTCGACTAAGGAAAGCATCCGACCCCCCAAAGTGTGATGCAGTCCCTAAATTTTTTCTCATCATGGCAGTGATTTGTTTGGGTCATGTACAGTAGTTGTTTTTTTGGTGATGTGCATCATTAATTGTTTTGCTCTTGTTGGATTGTCAGGCTTTCTCTCAGTAATGCTCTGCTCTTCTGTGCTGTCAGTTTAGGGTTACAGCCATCTCTTTCATGGACTCTCTTTTTATTTTCAGTTGAAGCAACCGTGCTTCATCTGAGTACAAAAGCTCAGAGACTTTTATTTTTTTTTTACGTTTAAAGCCAACAAGTCGTGCTGTATCAGATGAAAGGTGTTTCAATCTTATTGAACCCATTCAGATTATTATTTGTAAAGAATATGAGGACCACATACCAGTGTAATATTGAGTTTGTCCTGCTTTGTGTTTGGTGTGCCATCTCAGTAATATCCACAAAAGTATTTGTTTTAAAGTTTTAAATGCAGAAAATATAAAAAAGAATGAATACCTAAATAAAGAGTGAACATAGTTTTGCAATACATTGTAAAATGTCAATTGACAAGCAATTGAGTTTTTTTTCGTCATCCGTGCCAAACACCCCTACAATTCTTTAAAATGCTTTAAGGGTTTGTATGTTATTTAAATAATCAATTTTTATTCCAAAGTGAAATAAGTGTTATTTCAGGATTTATCACTAAGGAGTGAACTTTTTTTTAGCTCCCTGTTGAAAATAAATCATTTTGTAAAATGTGTTAAAATCTCTGGTTAAAAAATGTGATTTGTTTCTATTGTAAACATGCATCAGCTGTCTGAACAATTCAGTAAGAGGCTAAAATTGCAAGTGTGATTGGTTTTCAATGCTATTGGTATTAAATTGATTAAATAAAAAAATAAAAGTAAACCTTCATTGCTTTTTATCTCAAGTTTTAATTTTGCCTATACAGTGGCAAAACTTGTTTGACTACAGGAAGGACGTGCCTTTAGTCTCCCTTTTTTTTTTTTTTTTTGTTTAGAAAATGAGGAAAGATTTTATGGTTTCACATTATGGCTGCAAACATTTATAAACTTGGTTTGGTTATTAAAGTATATACCACACAACTATATAAATGAAAGTAAAATGAGAGGAAGATGATAGTTTTCTGTTTTTTACTTATAAGAATCTTAAATGTCTGTTGTACATTTGACACTTTAAGGAATCACTTTTTTTTAATTCTTTAAAAAAAAAAATAATCTTAAAATTCTTCCCATTCAGGCTGTATCATTAGGGCCATGGTCCTATTGGAAGTAGAGTGTCTGCCTTTTCCTCTTGCAAGTCGTCTTCCCTAATTGCTTTAGTTTAATACAATCCATCTCAGAATTTACTCTGATCCCCTTAGCTGTCCCTGCATATAGGTTAAAAAGTTCTGTTTGGGTCCATCTATGTCTACTTTAAAGCTTGAGGAAAAATATTGAAAAATATATTAAATCTACTGTACATTGTTTTCATTTTCTACTTTACAAGTTCAGATGTTTTGTAATATGAAATGTTGGTATAATATATACGAGTCTGTGGTTGTTCTGTAATATTCTAACCTAAGAAATTATCAGGAATCCACGAAAAGGTTCTTTAAATCACACTTTTCCAGATGCTTTTATGTTGAATAGACTTTTAGACTCAAAATCAACTACCGATATTTAAAGGTGATACAGCGCCCCCTGTTGGACAGAAGGAAACCCTCACATGCTGTATTTAGCACAATGGCTGAAGGAGGAATAAAACCGCAGCCAAGCATATTAATTTCATGCCTCAGCCTAATTTACAGAGTGAGAAATATGGTTTCTAAGCTTAAACCCATTGATCTTCCCTTTTAGATGTTTCCTAAAAAGACAAATTGAAAACCGTTGGAGAAAACTAAAACAACATAATATGGTCATTTTTATTGACATGATTGAGTCATGAAGGATGCTCACATTTCCTCTCAGATTCACTAATGTGTCGTACTGTAACAATAAACCTTCCTCTTCTTTTTACAATAAAGTAATTTGACATCATTCTATTCTTTAATTTCCTCTGGATCAGAGGCCTTTCAGGTTAGAATGAGTTAAAGTCTTTACTCTTCCTTCCTATTTGGCAGCTAGAGTTACTGATGAAATCATCTCTTTAGAAATTATTTACACACACCGTGTTGCTCTTTTCAGCTCTGTTTGTTTCAGCTATATGAGACGATGAGCAGCTGCTGTTCTGCAGGAATTTAGGGAGATTCCAAACTCAGAGGGACTCAGGGAGTGGAAGCCTTAGGGCGGAAAAAAAGGAGGGGAGGGCAGAGAGGAAGATGGATCGATTAATAGAGCATCCTCAATGTCCTTAAGGTGGTATGACTCCATGTTTTTGTTTTGGTTAAAAAGCAAGTGCAAAGTAGTCCAGGTTCATTGGCTCATGAAGTAGAGGGCAGAAGTAAGTACAGTAGGGATAGGGGTTAAAACGTATTAAAAAAGAAAACAACGGAGAACCCAGAAATAAAATAGTATATAAAAACTAATTTTGAGGAGACCATCTCTGTTTGCTTCTAAGGGTCAGAGGGAACATCCAAGCCTCTTCAAGCCCACACAGCTGTTGTGCAGCTCCAAACCACTGCTAATGGTGGAGATAAACCAGGCTTCCTCTTTTATTTTCACATATCCTGCAGGTTCTCCTCCAGTTATGTTCCACAGTCTTCTACTGCTCCTTCTCTGAGATTAGGGCTGCAACTAATGATAATTTTGCAAATCGATTAGTATATAGTATATATATATATATATAGATGGCTTTTTACGAAATTAAACCAGATGAAACTCAAACTTTTCCACTTGAGATCTGGAAGAGCATATTGACAGCCGACGTTTTGTTTTTTATTTTGTAACCTTAAACACAAAAGTCAGCAATAGGTATAGTTTAGAATGTTTATACTCCATTTAACATTTAATCAGTTACT